CCGGGGCCGGGGCCATCATTCTTCGGAGTAGAGGGGGTTTTGGCCTCTTGTCTGTAGCCCAGAAGCACTCCCTTCAGGAGTCCATCCTTGTGACCCTTAGAAACCTCACATCCTCTACAGCTAGAGGCCATTTGCAGCTCTTTGCCTTCTTCTCGCATGCAGATTGTCATTCCCCCCACCCCCAACACGGTGCAGGAGGTTGTGTTTAGATAGTCTCACTGGGGAGTGGGGTGGATATTGCCCTAAGGGGGCAAAAACTGGATCTTTGGCAGGTGAAAAAAAGTCTTAGCTATCGCCCTGTGGTTTGTGGCCTTTTAAAGGGGTACATATACAAACAGCTCTACAGTATTCCCGTGGCATTAAAACGTCATGGGAGGGGAGGACAATTATGGGGAAAAAATGTCTGAAGTCTCCTTAGGGGAGAGAAAACGGGGCAGGGGGGGGGAATAAAGTAAAAAAACAATCACTTGTGCAAGCAAGCCCCACTCAGGCTAAGCTGTAAATCTATTTTGGATGAAGCGTGTCAGGTTATGAAATACAACAATCCACATCACTTGGGGAGCCCTACGGAAAAAAGAACAGGGCAGAGAGAATGTCTCCTCAAGGACCCACACTCAGGGCCTCCCTTCTACTTAGGAAGAGAAGAGAAAGTGGCGGAGACTGGACACCGGCTAGTGAATAGCCTACTTGGAGGCCACTTGTGAGCTGAGGCCCCCAGTCTGGGGCCTGCAGCCAAAGCGAGACCTTGCCCTGTCCCTGAACCCCTGCCTCCCGGGTAACGGAATGGGTCCTTTCTCCCACCTCTGAGGGCCACTAGACTCTCCTGAATCAAACAGTGGACTCTAATTACTGCTTTTTGCAGTAATTAAAGGAGAAGAGTACAAGAGGCTCAGGGCAGGCCTGGCATCCGTATTAGCAAAAATTTAAACCTTTGGTCTCAGGGAGGGAACATCCTGGTTGAATGGACATTTCTGTAAGAGGCCAGAAAACCAATTTCCAGGGTTGGAGGAGACCTTCCACGGTGAGGGCCCTCCAGATCCCTTCTGCCAGATAGTCTCAAGTATCCCAGGGAAATGTGCAAGCAGGGGAAGAAGAAACAGAAGCAATCACTCTTGGGGGTTTTGCAACCCTGTGTCTCCTTAATTTTACACAAATGTCCTTATGCTCTATTAAAAAGAAAAGTGTTGTTTTTAAAACTTTTTCTGTGGAACTGGAGTGATATAACCAGTGTCCTCAAGCTCAACCCGTTGTCACCACTTGGGGAGAGCTGACTTGAGTCCTTCTAAAAAGAAAGTAAAATGGCACTCGGCATGGGAGTAAAGCCTAAGGTCTCTATCACTGGGATGTCAGCCTAGCATGAGTCTACACCAGCTGGCTCTGAAGATTTTGATCTAGAATTTGGATGTCGTTGTTTCCTTCCCCCAAAGATACACCCCCCCCCAAAACTGTGCAAGGTGACCACATAGTCAGGAAACAGGATAAACTTTTTTCTTTTTTTTTTAGTGCTCATGGGTGGTTGAGGAGATGTGGGTGTGGCAGGAGGCCTGCAGAGCAAGCACATATTTGTGGAGCCAGTTTGGGGTATATGCTCCAAGGTGGGGGAGGAGTGTGTGGGTGTGGATGTGGGGGCTGTGAGGGGACTTCTGTGTGCGCGTGCACACGGGCACGTAGGTGATGGTGGTGATGTGGGTGTGGGTCTGTGGGGGGTGTGACAGGATAAACTTCAAACTGCTTGCATTTAAAAATATATATATATATGCTCCATGTGTCTTCAGGCAAAGTACTGTAATGGGTCTAATTGTGAAGCTGAAATGTTACCATAAATACCCTCTAAAGTGTCCCAGAAGTCTGGAAATGAGAAAGAATGTCTATGCGGCATTTTTCAGATTAACCGTAGATCCATTGCTTAAAGGTTAGAAGTACATTACTGGGGAAGAATATCTGACCCAGAGGCTGAAGAAAAGCAAATTGAGCGTAGTATTATAAAATGTAAACTGACGTACTACTCAAAAATAAGTTTATCCTGGTTCCTGATTTGGAGAAATCCCTCTCTATTACACACGAACTATAAGATCCAGAATTTCTTGAGGGCTTTCTGTATGTGGAATCCTATATTAGGTGCTTTGTCTATGTCATTTAATCTTTGCACAAGAACCTATGAGGAGGTTCAGTGATAACAGCCTACCCAGTGGATTAAGAAGCTGAGGGTCAGACGAAGAAGGGGTAGTAAACTTACATGCCAACAGAGATGATGTAAATGATTAAAATAATAAAGGACACTGCCCTGTAAAAAATGATCAGTTCAAGCCAATTGTTGCTGGATAGGAATTCAGGCCCAGTACTGCCCGATCGATCGATTTTTCCAGAGAAGCCAGAACTCTGGATTCCTGCCAAATCTTCGGATTTTCAGATGTTCGTAACTAATTACATTTTCTATTAACTCTGTGTTGGCCATGCCGAACAGATTTGTGAAGCCAACCCGGCGGCAGGCCTCTAGTTTGCAAACTTGGAATTGAAGTAACTTGAAGTTTCTCCCACCTAGGAGACAAGAGGACAAAGGAGAACCCAACTCAAAATCGTTGTTTTCTCTTAGGACACGACAGATGTAGCTGCACTGTGGCTTAAATGCAATTTTGTTTAAATGACTCAACTTCTTAAAGCCCCTGGGTCTGCAGAAGTGGGAGCTGGAGGAGGCTCTAGGAGATGAGCAAGCAGCAGGAAGGACTCTTATTGGGCCATACTGAACAGGGGGGTGTGGCTGGAATTTTAGCTGTTAAAATCTTCACAGAATACAGACATTCCAAGGGCTATCTCAGGTCCACCTTCCGGATTTAATACCAGCAAAAAGAAAAACAACAAAAACAACAACAACAAAAAACCCCAGGAAGTTCCTTACCCCATAGTTCCACCCCCTCCCCAAGACAATCTAACTTGAAGCCGAAACTGCAACTTCCAAATGCACAAGACCTCTAAGTCTCTTATTTAAAGAGGATCCTTGACACATACCTTCTTCAGTAGGAGTGTGCTTCCCACAATATTTACAGAGGCCAAGGTTTTTGTTCAACCGTGTCCTGGTGTTACAGAGACCCCAAACATAAACAAGACACCTGCTATCACCCTATTACTAGTTTCAAAAGACCGACTGTAGCATTTAAAATGGGATTAACATTTCCCTCGGTTTTCCACTCCTGACTGTGTAAAAGGTTCTCCTGGAACAGCTGAGCCGGCTTGCCTTATGGAGAATTAAAGAGCACCACGCATGCACGCACACATAAGCAGCCATTTCTATAAATGCCCGAGAAAAATCACTCAGCTGAATGGTTCAGAACTCCAGGAATCTTTTTTTCTAAGACAGAAAGACTCTGGTAGCTCCCACAGAAACCCTGCAGGCCTCCCCGGCCGCCCAACCAGGCAGCTCCCTGAAGGAGAAAGTGCCTTTGCTCAAGGTGGCAGTGAGTGTCATTGTGAGCCACTGAACTCGGGGAACATGGCTGACAAGGCCAGGCCCGCCCAACAGCTGCTGGTGAGTAACACCCTCGGGTTAATACACCCTTGCTTCACCCCGGGGGAGTCACGCTAAAGGTCACATCCCCCCCATTCGGGCACACATCTGCCTCCCGACGGCCTTACAGATATAAACTTCCAGCTCTGCTGTTTGAGGGCAGCTTTAGATGACACCCCCAAACAGAACCTGATTGTGCATTAACCACGCAGGGAACTCCATTGCAGTTCTGGGCCAGCAGGCGCCTCCACAAGAAGCACCCTCCAAAGGAAATAAAATCCGAAATGCAGTTATGTGGCCTTGCTTTTCAAAAGCAAAACCAAACCAACCAATGATCATTTTAAAACCACAGGCCCAGGGCCTCATCTTTAAAGTACCAACAATCACACCCCAAAAAGACAATAGTTGGCTAAGGAACTCCAACGGCCTCTTCAATATGGTGTCAGAGGGTCGAAGGAAAAGAAGTTGCATGAAAGGATCAGGTCCTGTGCTTCCTTATCAGAATAGCAGTTGTAGAAGAGCCTTACTAAAGATGGTGAGATAGCATGGCCCAGCCCTTTCCAACTTTTTCTCAGTTATGTTAAACAGAACCAGCAGAATTGGCTGACCAAGGTCTCTGTAAGCCTCCAAAGCCCGTTTTTATACTGCATATGTCTTCCTGGCCACATTCCTTGGGCCAGCGCCGGCCTTTTGGTCTCCCTGGGAGAGACCCTTCCAGGAGGCCTCCAGGCCCACGTTCTCTACCAAGCCTTGACCTCAGGCAAGGACCACACCTCCCCGCTAACTATTCAGGGTAGAGGGTGCCACCAATCATGTGTGTGTGTGTGGGGGGGGGAATCAGCCTTGGAATCTCATTAAAAAGGCTAACTAGTCATGAAGTTAACCCACCAACCATCACTTGATCAAATTCCTCTGCCGCCCGAAGCAGTGTTATTTTAAACCTCCCTGGGGACTCTTGGCCAAATTTAAAACCACCTTGGCAAGCCCTGAAAAGTAGCAAGCATACAGCTAAATGAGTCCTTAGTCATCCTTAAAAGGTTGCACGTGAAGTGTGCCGCTTCTCCCCAGGTTTTGGCCATTTCGCTGCAATCCCTCAAGAGAATCAAATAAAAGATACGCCATCTGACCTCCCCAGTGCAGCACCTGCCCAGGTGGGGTGGCCCCACGGTCGCGGGGTGCGGGAGTCCTGGGGGCGGGGCGGGCCGGGGTGGGGGGGTGCAGCACCACTCCCCGCGCAGCCACGCACAGGGGCTGGCACTCCGCGCTCACTCTGCCTGCCAGGTTCATGCTCTCCATGGCTTCTAGAGACTGAGACAATTAAGGCGAGACGGAGCTTTCCGTCTCTACACGGCTCAATCATTTAAAGAGTTAAAACAGCATCTTATCCAAAATGTTGGCACCCTTGAGGCCGAGCGTGGTGTCCTTAACGCCCAGAAAGACTGCCCGGCCAAAGGTTAACTAACCCCAGAGCTCGGTGGGAGAGGGAGACGCCGCTAACCTGTATGCACTCTGTAATGGGCTTTGAGATGGGAGGATTTTCCATAGACTTTCCCACAGCCACTGTAGGGGCACTTGTGCCTCTTTTCGGAGGCGTGTTTCCCCTTCGCAGCCACTCCAGGGTGGAGGAGGGAGAGCGGGCTGGGCGCGCTGCCAGGATCCTGTCTCTCCTCCGGGCTGTGAGAAGGACTCGACCCAGATTCGGTGGTCACGTCGCTGTCGGATCCCATATCCTCATCCGGACTCTCCAGACTGTCGCTGCACACCGAGGGGGTCTGGATGGGTCGGTACTTGTTCAGGTCCAACAAGCTCTTGGCGATGGTGACCAGAGTGCAGTAATCCTTCCAGGTGTCCCCCGGGTCACCGTGCTCCTTGGTCACCTCGCGCTCAGGTAGTCGCAGTCGCTCGGCGTCCGGAGCGCCCCCATGCTCCGGCACCGCAGCGCGGTTCGAAATAGAAACCAGACACTGGGCAGCCACGAAGTCCATGTAGGCGGCCGCGGACATGGTGCGGGCGACAGCAGCCCCGGCGGCGCGGCCAAACTTGGCGGTGGCTGCGGTGGTTCGGCTCGCCCTGCCCTGGCCTCGGACGACGAGCGCGGCGCGGCGCGGCGGCCAAGGGGGCGGGGGCGCGGGGCGCTTCCGACTCGCAGGAGCGCGAGGCGACCTCAGCCCCTCATCTTTACGTAACCGGCAGCGCCTCCGCACGCAGCATCCACGGCCCCGGGCTCCGCCGCGCTGCCGCCGCTCGCCGCCGCCCGCGCCCGGCGCCCGGCGCGATCCCCCCGACGGGCGCGCCGGCCGCTCCAAGCCGGCTCCCTTGGAAAGACGCCACACGTGGCGGCCGCAAGTTTATTCGCTTGAAAACGCCCCCGAGGCGCTGGGAGAGGAAACTGCAAGAGAGGTACACGCCCTCGGCCGCCTCTCCGTCGAGCCAAAGCCCCAGGACATTCACCCGACCACCCTGACGCGGGTGGCGAGGGCCGGACCGAGCGCCAGGTCTAAGAGACACTTTTCCCCCAGTCCACCGACGCCTTCTGAGCCCCTGCTTTTGCCGGTCCGCACCGTTCCGGCATTCTCTTGCTCAGTAACAATTTCGCAGAATCCCATCACGTCACAATCCAAACCCCCTCTAATTGGCCAGTGGGGAGGGTGATTCAACTCTGTTTACTTTCTCCCCCTGCCAGTCAGAACGGCCTTTCGGTGGAGAGGTGCGTCTAGAACTGAGGCGTGCGGCCAATCCGACTGTTCCGTTTCGCTGCCTCGTGCTACCCCTACAGCCTCGAACGCTGACATTTAAAAGGGTAACAGCCGGGAGCCTGGAAGGGAGCCGCGGCTCATCCTCGGGAGCGCCTCTCGGTCCGTTAGCCGCTCCGGGTCTCCTGGCTCGCGTTCCCGCCCGCGGAGCCGTGGAGACACACCTTCCCCGGTCACTTGCGCTCGTTCTCGTGACAAAAGAAAACTTCAGATTCGGTTTTCCAGCTTGCAAACAGTTAAGTGACTTCCTGCAAACGCTAGAGTCCCAGCAACCAGCCTTCCAATCAAAAGTAAGTTGGTTGATGTCACTGACATTGGCCCAGCCAATCAGAAGGGCGTTCCGAAAGCAAGCGCTCCACATTTGTAAACGCCAAGAGCTGTAGTGAAACTGGACACATCCTTGTGTTTTATGTGGCTGGTAGTAAAAGTGAGATATGTATGGAAGGGCAGGGGTGATGAGTAAATAAAATGCGAGTCAATACTTTAAGAAAAAAAAAAACCTAAACTGAATATGTCAGGCCAAGTTGCCCAAGAATAAACACAAATGAGAAAGCATCATTTCATTTTTTTTTTTTTTTTTTTAGTTTGGGGATGCAGCATACTTCGGGGCAGATTTTTAATAATCCTTCTATCTAGCGCATTGACTATGACTAATTCATCTGAAAAATGTAGAGCTGATAAAAGTTCCTATTAAACCAGACTTTTTTAATGGCTCACTATTCCTACACGGAAACACCCCATCTTTGCTTCTGTGATGCCTTTTCATTCCTCTCCTTCCCTAGTGCAATTTATTCTAGGCAAGTTATTTTAGTTCTGTTTTGAAGCTACTGTAACCCACCGTCAATGAACTGGAGACAAAAATTTGTATGATTTATTTTTTTACACTTTAACAATTTTTATTTATTTTTATTTTTTTAAAGGTTTTATTTATTTATTTGACACAAAGAGACAGCGAGAGAGGGAGCACAAGCAGGGGGAGTGGGAGAGGGAGAAGCAGCCTTCCCGCTGAGCAGGGAGCTGGATGCGGGGGCTCAATCCCAGGACGCTGGAATCATGACCTGAGCCGAAGGCAGATGCTTAACCAACTGAGCCACCCAGGCGCCCCAACAAACATAATTTTTTAAAAAGAGAGAATGACTGATAAAAGGTTTAATTCTTCTGGAAGATGTAACATTTCAGAATATGCATATGCATATTAACCGGCACAAATATATAAAGCAAACACTCATGAAAATAACAAACGCAAAATTTGTATGATTTTTTTAAAAGACACCATTTTCTTTCCATCGACCCCCTGGATGGATTTCAGGGCTTGTTTCTCTTCCCTTATTTTACAGATGTGAAGACTGAGACACACAGATGTGACTTGTCTATCTTATCAGGTAGACAGTGACAGAGCTCAATTCAAACCATAAATCTATTGATTCCAAGCCCTTTGGGCTTTACAACAACCGAACTCTTCGATTTTGTGAAATATTAACTGTGCTAAACAGATTCTTAAGAACTGGAACAAGCCAGAGATCCTTAGCTTTTGAATATTGTGGCATTACTTGATCAATGATTAGCATGGGTCTTGGAGTCTGATTACCTCAGTTTGCCTCTCCCTCTGAATGAATGATGGGTTGTTTTCCATCATGATAGCTGAGAAAAGAATCTAGGGCTAATGTCTCTTACAGGAGGCGAACGGTGGACACAATTGGTTAAAAATACATTGATTTTCCTAATTGGGTGTGAGAGGTACCTACCTCTATATGATGCAGACCTGCTGAGGTCCAGCCATGGCCCCCACTGGCTGTTAGCCTTTGGTTAAGGTTTGGGAAAGTTACACCAATTTCCTGGTCTTTAGAGAGGTCTTTAGAGTTCCATGTGAGCCCTCCCAGTTTGAAGGCCAGTATAGTTTATTTTGACTTTGCTTTTGAAGGGGTACAGGAAGCTATCGCAGTAGGTTGACTATATGGAAAAGCGAAGTATGGAAAAGGGGTGGCGGTCAACTGAGAATATTATCATCACCATCACGGTAAAGTAGGTACATCATGGTATGTAAAAGTGAAGCCGCTTAAAGTTCTTGTATTTCCAATCCCCTTAATTTTAGAAAAGAATTCACTGAAGCGCAGGGGAGTTTGCCTACTTCATAATTTTTCTGGGACAACCTCTGTCCCCAAGGATACATGATCATTTAGAAATTGCACCTTTGCTTGCTTCTTTAAGGTCCAGCACAAATACCAATGGGATCTCTCCAGGGTCTCTATGATCACCTCCTGCACAGTCTCTTGAACTTGCATTGCAACAGGCATTGCACGGGGCACCTCCAGATTGCCCTAGAGTTAATTAACATTGAGGTTATTCTAGAAAAGAAGGGAAGTCTATCTTTCCTTGGACATTGTAATCCAGGAACTTGAATGAATCAATCATCATAGGTTTTTTGAAAAATATAAACTTTCCCCTCCCTTGCTTCTTGCCCTCTTCTAATTACCTTTAATTTAATTTTGTTTGGACTGGACATAAACCCTGAATTCTTCCAACTCATTCATTTCACAGTTATAGAAGAAAGTAATAAAAGAAAACTGAGATTTCGCACACACGAGTTTCTCTCACATATTTATAAATGTATCTGCTGCTTGACTTGATTTAGAATAGCTTTTTAAACCCAGAAATTCTAAAATTATAGAATACCTTCCCCTTTATCTCTTTTTCCACTCATTCCTTCTCTAGATACTTCTGTTTCAGTCAGGGAGTTAGGCATGGGGGAGTACAGAAATGAAAAGACAGTCTATCCTCCATGAGATTTATATGTTAAAAACAAATTATATATACCACAAAACATATATCACAAGTAATAATTGCTACATCAGGATTTTGTGTGTGTGTGTGTAACAACAAGCTCCCCTTGCTCTGTTGGGATGTGTGTTATAATAGTTCTTTGATTAAAATCAGCTTACACTGTTTTGCCAGCATGTAGTTGTCCCAATTAAATTCTGGCAAAGTAAATTGTCCCAAATTAATAGGAATCATTCCTAATTACAATGAATAATTTACCAGTAAAGTATATATTATGCCACATAAATATGAGAGGTCTGTTTTCCCCCAGTGTAGTCTTTGTAAATACACATTTCAAATCAACACAAACCAACTGGGAGGAGCATGGGATTTCAGACTGTAACTGTGCTTCTAGATTATGTGTTTTCATCTCTAAATTCTGTCTAAGGCTTGGCTTTATTATCCAAGTTCTCAAGAACAACCGTTTATGGGCCTGTAGCCAGAAGTCTTATTTTCTGTGCATCCTAAAATAATTATCATTATCACCTCTAGAAGAGGTAGTGCCTACCCTGAGCTGATTCTTTGAGCATGTGCTTAGACCAGCTTGGGGCAGAGAAGGGGCCTCCCGGGCCTGAGATGAGCAGCATGACCCTAGGCAACCTCTTAGAGTTATTTCCTCATCTGTGAATTAAGGGCATTAGATGAATACATCTCCCTAGTCCCTTACAAACTCCAAATACACTTGGGATTTCCCCCCCACCCCCCCCCCCCAAAATCATAGGGAAAAAAACTGAGCAAGACTTGGGTTCTTTAAACACCATCTCATCTGCTGTGCATCTACAAACAGGTCTTTATGGCAATGAAGGTCAGAATGTCTTAAATCAATATCTAATGGGATAGCAGGCACAATATAAACTTGTCCGGAATCCCTTAAATCCTTTCCTCCTTAATTTCATGGTCTTGCTTTTTCTCTCTTCAAGCTAGCTTGTGCAGATTTTCCACCCTAGCCGCAGCAGAGGTATCTCCAGGCGAAGGCAGCCCATTCCCAGTCCCCTTCCCTGGAGATTTTAATCCAAACTGAACCCTGCGCAGAGTTTCCCCAACTCTGGGTGGAGCTTACCACCTGGGGCTTAATCTAAAATACTTATTGCCCAGTCTCATCTTTGCCCAAGACCCGGAGAGGTTTAGATTAGAACTCTGGCTTTTCTCACTCTTTCCTGCTGGGAGGCGTGGACGGTGCTGGGCAGAGCTGCCAGCTTCCAGGCGGGAAGGAAGGAGGAGAACAGATGGCCCGCTGGGGGTAGGGGATCACGTGTCGGACCTCACTCTGGGCTGGATCCAGACTTCCTTCAGGACCCAGGTCCTTTGGCTTCAGCGCGTCCACCTAGGCACACGGCATATATCTGGGGGAAAAGTAGCGTTCACTTTAGTGAGAGCTGGGGAATTAGGGGAAAGTGGTGAGTTTGGGGAGGAGGAGGAGGCGGGCCTAAGGGATCGGGGCTCCCAGCAAAGGCAGTGTTCTGGATTTGAAATACAATCAGGTAAAGACCTATCTGCCAGAACGCCCGTGGCCGTAACGTCAGTTAACACGCAGGGGCTGGGGGGAGGGGGGGCCTCCGGCCCGCGCGAAAACTTGCACAACGCCCTACTTCGCTCTCGCTGCACTTAGCAGCCTTCCGCAAAAACTCCAGGCCTCTCCTTTGCCGAGCAGAAAGGCCACACGTTCATACATATGCAGGAGGATAAGTTTAGCTAGCAGCCCCCCGCGCGCGGAGAGGCCCTGCGCGGCGCACCGTGCATCACCCGCGCTCGGGGGCGGGCGCTCGGCTCCCGCAGCCGACTGGCGGGCGGCGCGCCCCGGCCTGGCATCGCCCTTTTAAAAAGTCTTCCGCAGGCGGCCGCCGCAGCAGCAGCCGGAGGAGCCGAGTTCATCTGAGGACAGCCCCAGTTCTCAGAAATCCCTTCCCTGCTGGAACATCAAGCTCCCTTTACTGCAGTTGAACAAACTGCCCTAGATTGGGGGATGAGGAACCCGCCCCAAACTCGTGCAAGGAGCTCCGGGCGCCCGCGCCCACGTGAGCTAACCTTGAAATTAGCCCCCGCACCCCGGCGGGAGGTGGGGAAGGCTGGCGGGGGTGAGAGTGGGCGGGGGCCGGCTGTTGGCCCCTCGAGGCCCAAGCCCTAGGGTTTGCGTCCTCCGCTGGCGTGTACCGCCCCCACCACCCTGTTTCATAACTCTATCGAGTTGCATTTTTTTTTCTTTTTAACTCCTCGGAGTAGCATAGGGGTGTGTGCGTGTGTGTGTGTGTGTGTGTTGGCGGGGGTTGGGGAGTGGATAGAGGCACCTTCCCCATCCCCCGCGCCCGCGAAGAGGAGGAAAACCTGCCCTGCGGTCTCCCCTGGGATCACTGCGGAGTAGGGTGTCGGGATGACATCAGCTTCTAAACATAGCCCGCACCGCACCCCAACTCTTAGCGCTGCGAGCAAGGCTGGGGCGGGAGCAAGGGGAGCGCAGGGAGGCGGGTGCTGCTGT